CTTGCCTACGTAGGCACTTAGACAGCTGAGCTATCTTGCTGGCTCTCAAAATTTCATCTTCAAGCAGTTCTGTTCTTCATAAAACTGCATGCATTCAGGAGGCTGAGACAAGGAAGAAACCAAATTTTAGGCTAGCCTGGGCCGCACAGCAAATTCAAGGCCAGCCTATTCAACATGCTGAAACCATCTCAAAACACACGTCACTTTCAGTCTTTATAAGTAGACCCTGAAAACTGTCCTCTTCCCTTTTAAAGACTTCTACTAGACTAAAGAACTAAAAAAAAAAAATCTAAGGACAAGCAACAACTGTGGATACCCAACTGGTTGGGTTATCAAGGTTTTCAAAGACCTTGAGCCCCACAGGGCTGGGAATCGGCTGACCACTAGTTTGGAGAATAAGGTCCTAGGTGTGCAAATGATCTGATAACTGATATCCTACAGATCTGTGCTGGGAAGCTTACTAATTATCATGAATTTTGAAAAAGGATTTTTTAAAAATTGGCTAGGGAGATAGCTCAGCAGTATAAGTTACTGCCTAGCAAGCACAAAGTCCTGAGTTTGATCCCTCGTCCAAAAATAATAAGAATTTCTTAGTACTAGAGATTGAACCCAGTGCCTTAGTGAATGTTGGTCATATATTTTACTGCTGAGCTATATCAGCAGCCTTTTTAATTTTTGACACAGGGTTTCTCCAGGTTGCCCAGGCTGGCCTCAAACCTGTGATCCTTCTGCCTCAGCCTTTCAAACTTTATTAAGGTACTCTACTTGGAGGTTGTACAGTAGCCAAGTGGAAGGGAGGAGCCGTCAAAACTCAACTCTGGTGGGAATGAAACCCACATCCTTTAAATGCCCATACCAAGAGCTGGGTCAGAAGTCCAGCGCTATATACATTGCTCCTGAGTTACCCTGGGTGCTCTCTTGGCTCACCTCTACCTGAAACCGCCCATTCAATGCTCCTCCGTGTGGCGCTGGGCCTTTGTTACTTTCAGCTCTTCGGGGGCCTCCCCTCTCCCCTACCACCCCACCCCGCTCCTCCTTTGGCTACAGTCCCTCTACTCCAGCCAAAAGCGAAGGGACGGCGAGGCAAGGGGCGGGACTCAGTCTGCGGGTCCTAGGCAGGGCCAGCAAGTAGTTTGGACTACAACTCCCGGCGTGCTGTGCGGTGCCGCGGGGCGGGGCGTGCGTGAGGCCGATGGGGCGGGTGGCGTGGGGCGCGCGGGGCTGAAGTGCTCCGCGGGCTCGGAGGCTCTGGCTGCGCCTACCGTACGGGAGGTGGTGCTGCGGGTCGGCCCAGCCCGTTCGGCGGCGGGAGGCGGGCGGGAGGCGGGCGGGGGAGGAGCGCGGCGGCAGGCGGGGGAGGAGCGCGACGGCAGGCGGACCCTGCAGGGCGCGGAGCCGCCGGCCGAGACTTGAGTCTCGGCTGTGTGCGCCAGAGTGGCTGATGCCCTCCGCGCTCCCCGCTCCGCCGCCGCATCCGAGCTGCACTGGTACGAGGGGCCGCACGGCGGGGCCCACGCCGCCCGGTGAGCAGAGGCGCGGGCGGGGGTCGGTCGGAGAAGCCGCCGGGCCGGCCTGGCGCGAAGGGCGCGCCCTGCCGGGCCCTTTCCTGTCCTGGCTGTTGGGGATGAAGTCTGTCCCCAGGCCGGAGGGAGTGGGCACCCCTCCCGTCCTCTTCCTAGCTCTTGGCCTCCCGGACGGACAGGTCCTGCCGCTGTCCTCTGGTGCGCCTTGGGAAGCCAGAGGTCCGAGAGCCTTGGAGATCCTAGCGTTGGGCTTGGGGCACTGGTTTATTCGTCCCCCGCCTCCGTTTAGGCTTTTATATAGGAGATCGGTACGGGCTCCCTGTGAGCCAGGCCGTCTCCTATCCTTCTCTAGAACCTCCTGAGGTACTTTGCAGACTTGACCTTCAGGTTCTCCCAAGAATGGGAAAACCCTATGAAAAACTGAGCCCCGTCAGCTGTCCCCCAGCAAGTCTGCAGAGCCAGGAATAGAGCCCTAGAGCCCTAATCTACGACAAGCCCTTACAGCAGCAGTCAGCTATTCTCCTTTCCTAAGCCCGGGTCCCTAGAGGGGTGGGTGGGTGTGTATGTCTATGTGTGTCTATGTGCTCCGGGGCAGGAGGTCTTTCAGGTCTCTGGACCCTCTTCCTCTCCCTCAATCACCTTTCCCCCTTGGGCGGTCACCTCACAACACCTCCTGGCTCTGACTGGTTTGCTGGATCGCCCTCTATCGACCAGTAAAGCAGGAGGCTGTCTGAGTGGGCAGTAACCGATCAGGGCTGCCTTCCCGAAAATCTGCACCTTTAGGTGTTATGGCTTTCTGGTCATCCCCAGAACCTCCCTGAGTAAGGAGTCAAGCCAGAGTCCCTTAAGTCAGTAACTACCCCAGCTGTCTTGGTTAAGGACCTTGGATGTAGGACAGTGATCTGATCGAGGCTCTGAGGGGTCTCATGGACCCTTTGCACAGGATAAGAGATTGAGGCCTGAGGTGGGACTTCCCCAGGGTCACTCGGAGAGTAGGAAAGAGACATAGTACTAGATACCAGACTGTCTCCTGCTTTTCACCTGCAGAACTTTTATTGCACCATAGTTAAACCTTTGGGATCACAGTGGAATGGCTGCTGGGGCTAGGATGTTGAGAGCCTTGGGACACAGATGCTTGGGTTCGCTGACTGTCTTGTACCTGCAGGTCACAATGCTGCTCGGAGCATCTCTATTGGGGGTGCTGCTGTTCTCCAAGCTAGTGCTGAAACTGCCCTGGACCCAAGTGGGGTTCTCCGTGCTGCTGCTCTACTTGGGGTCTGGAGGCTGGCGTTTCATCCGTATCTTCATCAAGACCATCAGGCGAGACATTTTGTGAGTAGAAGCCCTTCCTGGGGGCTCTCAGCCACACTGGGTTCATGCACTCCAGAGTGTACAAAGACCAAACCCATGTTCCCTGCCAGCACAGGACACACGCTCCTAAGGAGCAGCTTGTGCTTCACACCCTTGTTCTCACAGCTGTGCCTGGTACCTTCATCTCCAGGGTCAAAGTCTTCTCCCAGTGATTCTCCATAACTGGAGGCTCAGCTTGAGGCAGGGTTGGAGACCTCTGACCCACAGCAAAGTACCCCTTAGTTTATGACAAAGAGAAGAGGAACCTGTCCTCAGGTTGTCATGAGTTTGAGAGTGCACAAGGAGCCCTGAATTCTAAAGCATGGCTCTAAGTTAGAACTCTTGGGGGCTGGTGAGATGGCTCAGTGGTCTAGAGCACCTACTTAGAACAAGCTTAGCAAAGCACAGGGACCGCGGTTCAATCCCCCAGCACCACATGCCAGCCAGCCCCTCCCCCTGGTGGGCTGAGCTGGACACACACACACACACACACACACACACACACATAAATAAAAATTAAAAAAAAAAATAAGTTAGAACTCTTGAAAGACTCTCAGCTGCTTCACACCAGGTGCCAAGCTGGCTCTAAGGCCAGGAGAGGAGCAGGGCAAACCAGGTTTGCTGAGCTCAGATTGGCCAAAAGCCCAAAATATTGTAACTGTACATGTACGTGTATAGAGACCTCTGTGGGCTGGCTCAGATTGGCCAAAACCTCAAAACATTGTAACTGTACATATACATATAGAGAGACACCTACAGGCTGGCTCAAGGGCCCCCGCACTGAAGCATACCCCAAAACAGGTGGCTTCTTGTCAATCTGGGCTGGTTACAGAAGGCGGTATCACATGGCCCTGCTGGAAGAGTGGCAACAACAGGACTGGATGGGGAGAGACAGCCCGAGGGCAAAGAGCTGATGAGATGTGGAACAGGGAGAGACAGTCCTAAGGTCAGGGGCTTGGGGACGTACAGGCTTCTGGGCAGAAGGAGCTGTACTTGATGTGACTTGGAGCTGAAGGCAGACATCTAGCCAAAGGGCACAGGGTTAGCAATGGCATAGCGGCTGGAGGGCTCCCAGAGTCTAGGGTGGCAGGGGTGACAGGAATGGGGCAGGAAAGAGGTGTTGCCATGTGATTCCACAGGCAGCATTACTCTGTGCCTGACACATAGCAGACCTGAGGGACAGGGTGGTGGACCAGACAGAGCCCCACCCCCGCTGGACTCCAAGGGCGAAGACTTGTCTCTCATCAATTGGCGATGGGGACTGGTGACCTGGAGATGGCACTTGGCTCTGGAAGGCTTCTTGCAGAACAGGATTAGAGGGGAAGAGGAGTTGTACTCCAAACCAGAGAGGCCAGGGCAGAAGCTCTGGGCTAAGCATGGCACCATGCAGGCCTTGGTTTCCTTTTGCTCTGTCAAGGGAGAGAGTAATCACACACCATCTTGGTGTCATTGTGAGACCTGAGAGAGAGTATGCATGTCGCTGTGCAAAGCTCCCAGGAGGATCCGGGAGTGAGACCCAGGCCAGCAGGGCAGCAGCCTGGGCTAGGGTACCAGGACCCCATCCTCCCCGCGCTGGCAGTCATTGCTCTCTTGCCCACTTCTACACAGCGGTGGCCTGGTGCTTCTGAAGGTAAAGACAAAGCTGCGACGGTACCTGCGGGAGCGGAGGACAGTCCCCATGTTGTTTGCCTCTATGGTTCAGCGCCACCCCGACAAGACGGCCCTTATCTTCGAGGGCACAGACACTCACTGGACCTTCCGCCAGCTAGATGACTACTCCAGCAGTGTGGCTAACTTCCTGCAGGCCCGGGGCCTGGCCTCAGGCGACGTGGTTGCCCTGTTCATGGAGAATCGTAATGAGTTCGTGGGGCTGTGGCTGGGCATGGCCAAGCTGGGCGTGGAAGCAGCACTCATCAACACCAACCTCCGGCGCGATGCCCTGCGTCACTGCCTCACCACCTCACGGGCACGGGCCCTCGTCTTTGGCAGCGAGCTGGCCCCAGGTGAGCTCTGGGGAGCAGATGCAGTAGGGCTGCATGGGTTCTCACTCAGGCCATGACTCCCTTCTGGCCCTGGGGAAGGCTGCATGGCTCCATGGGTAGGGGCACAACCCTTAAAGTCAGACCTCCTGGGCCCCACCAGGGAAACGAGGTCCTGAGTGAGGGTAATCTCGGAGCCCCGTTTCCTCTCCTGTAGTACCTGCCTCCCACCGACCTCAGCAAAGTGCTTGCTCTGGAGCAACAGCAAAGCAGCCGGTGCTGGTTGGGCCCCACAATGTGACAGCTGTCTCTGCAGTGGGGCTAGGGACTCCCTTCCTGCTCTCAGTGCAGAGCTTGTGTTTTATTTGCTGCTCCACATCAGGTGCCCCAAGTGCTGAGCTTGGTGCTTTACAAAAGCACCTCTGATCTTCATAAAGACCAGAGAGGCTAGGATTGTCATCTTGGCTTTATTATGAGTGATGAAATGGGTTCAGAGGGGGAGGGGAGCTCACCCATGGTCACGTGGCTGCAGCGGCAGGACTGGGGTTTGGTCATGGGCTTGACCATGGTGTTCTTGGTCTCTGTTCCAGTGCTGCTGAGGTCACAGGATAATGGACTGAGGGGTGGATTAAGATACTCGAGGGAGAAGGAGGATGCAGCAGTTCGAGGGGAGCAGGTGGGATGAATCAAGGGGAAGCCAGAAGGTGTAGGGCGCTTGTCTAACTACGTGTGAGGGCCAAAAATAAAAAAGAAGAGGAAGAAACCAGAGGAGGCAGGGCAGAGGTTAGAAGGGCCCCCTGGCCAGCGTGGGTGAGCAGCTGAGAACTGGACAGAAATTTCCCGCTCTGGAGAGGGCCCTCAGGCCCTTGCCCTCCACTCCTGCCTTCTAACCAGTCGCCCACGGAGTAGCCTAGCCTGGTGGAAAGAGTTCAGCCCTTGGTGTAAGACAGAGCCACCCCCTCACTCTCAGAGCCCCAGTTTGTTTCCTCAGCTGTCAGACCAGCTGCTATTGGTCCCTTATCCCTAGGGCTGCTGGCAGCTGCATGGGAGGCTTGGGCCCCATCTCGGGAAAGGGCCTTCCATCTCCTCTCTATACCAGCCTTCTCACTGATGTGTGTCCCTGGCCTGAACAGAGTCCCACCTGCTGACCCACCTGTCTCCCCCACAGCTGTCTGCGAGATCCATGCCAGCCTGGACCCCTCCCTCAGCCTCTTGTGCTCGGGACCCTGGGACCCCTGCTCCATGCCCATCGGCACAGAACACTTGGATCCTCTGCTGGACAAGGCCCCCAAGCACCTGCCCAGCCACCCCAACAAAGGCTTCACAGGTGGCCCCCACCCCTACATGGGGCTTCTAGGTGGGATGGAGGGCAGCGCTCGCACTGTCTCTGGGCCAGAGCCCTGGGTTTTGCTGGTAACTTGCCATGTGACTTGCACAGGAAACGCCATGGGGACTGACACCCCAGGACACTCTGGGATCCTGTCAAGGTGAAAAGACCCAGAAGTCAAGATGAGCTCACAAATCGCTTCTTCGAGTTGTGGGGTAGTCTTTATTGAGGGTCGTGTGTACTTGGGAGCCTGTTTCACCTCAGCCAGGGTTGTGGTGGAGAGGTAGGGCGGGGCAAGACCTCGGAATCCTAGGGCAGGATCTGCCCTAGGATTGTCCTCCTGGCATGGGCTGTGGCCAGGTCCCTCCTGAGGAGCTTCCCCTAGCTCTCCCTTCCCCTGGCTCCAGCCTGCCCTGCCACGCCATGCCCTGCACCTTCCCCATCCCACCAAATCCCCAGCCTGCTGCCTTGCCTAGCAGCAGAGCTCAGGCTACCCGGGTAGATTAGAGTCCTTATCCTGGCAGTCTGTTCCCAAGTAACTGTGGACACCTGCCCTGCCTTCTGAGCCTGTGCCCCATAGCCATAAAACTGGGGACAGTAACTGCGTACTTTATGGGTTGACTTTACAGATTGAAAAAAAGAGAGGGTCAAGTTTTGAGGCACTAGGGCATGGCAGAAAGGGCTTGGGAACTGTCCTTGTCCTTGTCTGTGTCATCATCCTTGGCTAGCATTTCCTGTCTTATCCCCTGGAAATTTCTGTAAGCTGCCTGAGGGCAGGGTCTGTGGCATTTCACCCTGGTGCCCCCATACCGCTTAGGTGACACATAACACAGCCAGAGAGCCTAGTGTGGGTGCTTTAAATGTAAAGAGTTTAGCCTGGCATGTTGGCATGTGCCTGTCACCCCAGCACTTGTGAAGCTGAGGCAGGAGGGATGCCAAGAGTGCAAGGCCATCCTGGGCTACATAGTGAGATCCTGTCACCAAAAACCAAACCCACAAACAATACATAAGGTACAGAGTCATTCCTGGTGGGCTGTGCCTCATACAGGAACGGTCTTGCAACAGTCCCTATTCAGAGCAGCGGGGTAGGCTAAACAGATGGCCAGCGGTACAGAAGCTGCCTTGCTTCCCCACTCTCGGAAGCCCACCTGCTGCCATCTCCACTCCCACAAGGTTGGGACAGACGGTACTGCTGGGTTTTGCCAGGTCCTCTGCTTCTTTCTGCCCTCCCTGACCTAGCGCTCAGTGTCTGGTTCACCTATGTGCTCATCTGTCCCATCCAGTGAGGACCTCCAAGAGGGCCATGCTGGCACAGAGTGAGGTCCAGGAAATGTCCGTGGAAGGAGTATTGGAGCAGAGGCATGCGGCCGGCTGAGGCTGCTTCCTGGCGAAGGTGTGTCGGGAGCAGGAGTGTGTGCTGCGTCCCCTCACGGCCTCCCATCTGTGATTTTTTCAGATAAGCTCTTCTACATCTACACGTCTGGCACCACAGGGCTTCCCAAGGCTGCCATTGTGGTGCACAGCAGGTAAGGGACAGGGGACTGGGTGTGTGGGCAGCACCTCCTTCCATTCCAGGGCCCCACTGAGCCCTTCGCCCTGCACCTTCCCAGGTACTACCGCATGGCTGCCCTGGTATACTATGGATTCCGCATGCGGCCCGACGACATTGTCTATGACTGCCTCCCCCTGTACCACTCCGCAGGTAGCTCTGGCCTGCCCCTCAATGTCCAGCTCCCTGTCCTTAGAGAGGTCCCATACTTTGGCCAGCAGGTGCACTCTAGTCTGGGTTCAGTCCAGGCATGGCTATGTCCATGAGGGTAACCATTGCTGCCTCACTGTGTTGGGTGACATCTGTATTCCTTACACACGTGTGGCATTGCTGTTGGTTGTATGGTATAAAGGAGGACAGTGTGTGTGCATATGTATGGAGCTACCGAATGCTGGTAGAGAGATGGCCGGCTGAGTGTGGAGGGTGGGGTGGATACCTGGCGAACCTCCCGTAAGAGGCAGTGTGGGGTACAGCAGCCAGCAGGGTGGCTCAGCCCTGCCTGGCTGAATGGCAGTTCACAGGTGTGGGGCCAGCTCAGCAGTGGAAGGAGCGTGCGCTTGATCCTATAGGTATTGAGTAGGGGAGAGAGACAATTAGTTCATATAAGGGCACAGACAGGAGAAAGAGACTAGGCCAAGGGCCTGTGAGGAGGTACGCCTCGGCTGGGGGCGGGTCTCTGGCTCCTTGACCTCCAGGCCTTCTCTGCCTTCAGGAAACATCGTAGGCATGGGGCAGTGCCTGCTCCATGGCATGACGGTGGTGATCCGGAAGAAATTCTCAGCTTCCCGGTTCTGGGATGACTGTATCAAGTACAACTGTACTGTGAGTGAGGAGGGTCCCTTGGGGTGTCTGTTATGAGCTGACAGCTCAGCCCAGCCAACTGCTATCCAGTTGAACAACACTCCCACTGTCCAGATGGGGAGACAGAGGCTCGGGGAGGGAAAGAGGCACTCAGCCAGCCTCTGTGGTGGGCAGGGGCTTGAGGGATGCTCAGGAGGCAAAACAGGGCCACCCTGTGGGCCCAGACTCACCCCAAGCCCACCTACCCCCAGATTGTGCAGTACATAGGTGAGCTGTGCCGGTACCTCCTAAACCAGCCGCCCCGTGAGGCAGAGACCCAGCACCGAGTACGCATGGCAATAGGCAATGGCCTCCGCCAGTCCATCTGGACAGACTTCACCAGCCGCTTCCACATCCCCCAGGTGGCTGAGTTCTACGGAGCCACTGAATGCAACTGCAGCCTAGGCAACTTCGACAGCCAGGTGTGGCCGGGTCGGGGACAGGAGGCCGTGGGCCACAGCAAAGAGTCCCGGTGTGAGAGTGGTGTGGGTCCTGAGTGTCCCTTACCCCCACTGTCCTGGTTAGGCCCTGTGGGGGAGAGCCTGGGCCCAAGTGTTGGCCTTTGCAGGTGGGGGCCTGTGGCTTCAACAGCCGCATCCTGTCCTTCGTCTACCCCATCCGGCTAGTGCGTGTCAATGAGGACACCATGGAGCTGATCCGGGGGCCTGACGGCGTCTGCATCCCTTGCCAGCCAGGTCAGCTCTGGGTGGGAATTGGGGGACAGAGGGTCTCTCCCATTCAGTAGACACAGAGCTTATTCTGACCAGTGGCCATCAGATGGCTCTGCTCGAAGGCCATTGAGGTTTTCCCGTGTTTGTCCAGCCAGATGTCCATGTACCGTCTTGTCCATCCACAAGTCCATTCATTTTCATGTTGCCCCAAGAGGACCCAAGTCTCTGCCGCCTGGGGATTCTGCCCCAGCCCTCTGCCATGGGCCATTTAACCTCTCAGTGCCCAAATCCCCTCATCTGCAGTGTAGCTATCTCTGCCTCCTCAGGTTGACCCAAGGGTCACAAGAACACAAAGCTCGTTGGGTATACCACTGACTGAGGCAGGGCTTGAGTGCGCAAACTAGCCAGGTCAGCTCTGGGTAGGAAATTGTTTCAGTAGACAGGTATATCAGGCCAGCTGCTGCTGCCAGAGCACTCCCAGGCAGAAAGGAAAATAGGAACAACTTTCTTCCCTTTTCCTTTCTTTTTTTTTTTGGAAGTAGGGACTGAACCCAGGGCCTTGCACATGCTAAGCACAAACCACTGAGCTACCCTCCAAGCCCCTAGAAATGGGTCATTTCTGTTGAAAACAGTATAAATCAAATCAGATTAAGATACAGCGTGGGGGCTGGAGAGATGGCTCAGTGGTCTAAAACACCTACTTAGAACAAGCTTAGCAAAGCATCAGGGACCGCGGTTCAATCGCACCACATGCCAGCCAGCCCCGCCCCCTGGTGGGCTGAGCTGGCCACACACACACACCACACACACACACACTCACTCACTCTCTCAAATAAATAAATAAATAAAAAAGATACAGCGTGCATTTAGTGGGGAGGACAAGTGGGAGATGTCACCAGAAACAACCTTGATTCTGCCTTCTCTGCCTCCCAGGCCAGCCAGGCCAGCTGGTGGGCCGCATCATCCAGCAAGACCCTCTGCGCCGCTTTGACGGCTACCTCAACCAGGGCACCAACAACAATAAGATCGCTCAGGATGTCTTCAAGAAGGGGGACCAAGCCTACCTCACTGGTGAGTCCCCAGTCCTGGACTCACAGAAGGAGCTTTCTGCCTCCTTCAGAGGCCACCTGCCTATGGCTCCCGAGGCTCAGCTCCCGTGTCAAACCCAGCCCTGGGCTCCCAGAAGGGCAGCCTGGGTCCAGCCTCACCCAGCCCCTTCCTAGGCGATGTGCTGGTGATGGATGAGCTGGGCTACCTGTACTTCCGGGACCGCACAGGTGACACGTTCCGCTGGAAAGGTGAGAATGTGTCCACCACCGAGGTGGAGGGCACGCTCAGCCACCTGCTGGACATGGCCGACGTGGCAGTGTATGGTGTCGAAGTGCCAGGTATATGCTGAGAGGGCAAGGTGCATATCGGGAGGACCACTCAGGTCACCGCCAGCTGCTCAAGGTCTGCCCTCCCGCTCCCAGGAACCGAGGGCCGGGCTGGCATGGCTGCTGTGGCCAGCCCCGCCAGCAGCTGTGACCTGGAGCGCTTTGCACAGGCCTTGGAGAAGGAGCTGCCCCTGTACGCCCGCCCCATCTTCCTGCGCTTCCTGCCACAACTACATAAAACAGGTCTGTCCCTCCCTGTTCCAACACCAGGCTCCATATGTGGATGCCTCCCCCGTTCTTTCTGTCCACACCTGGTGGCTGTCACTGACCTCCCATAACTTTCCAATAAGTAGGTGGTGCACTGTTCCCTATGGGACAGTACTGAATATGTATCTGGTACCATGCTAGCTAGGCCTTAGGGATACAGGTAACAAATTCTGACCAGAACTTTGTCTTAGAACTTTTTTCCTTTTCTGACTACTGGGGGTCAAACCCCTAGTGTGAGTGTTCTACCCTAAGCCGTACCCCACCTCAGCCTTCTTGGAGCTTTAAGGCCCACCAGCTGTAGGAGAAGGGATTCAAAGGATAAGGAATAGACAGCAGGTGAAAAAGGCAAGTGAAGGCAGGGCATGCATGTAATCCCAGTACTCACAAGGCTGAGGCAGGAGGATCACCCCAAGCTTGAGGCTAGCCTGAACGACATAGCAAGACCCTGTCTCAAAAAGAAAGAAAGGCAGGGGCCGGGGAGATAGCTCAGTAGAATAAGCGTTTGCTCGACAAGTGCAAGGGCCTGAGTTCAATCCCCGGTTCCACCAAAAACAAAAAAAAAAAAAAAGAAAGGCAGATGGAGCCAGGCATGGTGGCACATGCCTGTAATCCCAGCTACTGAGGAGGCTGAGGCAAGAGAATTGTAAGTTCCTAGGCCATTCTGGGCAATTTAGTGAAAGGTTCTCTCAAAACAAAATTTTTTAAAAGGTAGGGATGGAGCACAGCACTGGAGCATTTGCCTAGCATGGTTGAAGTCCAGTAGTACCACAGGGGAAAGAAAGGAAAGGACAAAAAAAATCAAAGCAAATAGAGCCACATTTGGGGTGATGGGTGGATCCCCCAAGGAGGTAACACTTTAGCTGAGGCCTAAATGTAAACACAGATGACTTTATTTTTTTATTTTTGATGGAACCAGGGATTGAACTCAGGCCCTTGCACTTGCCAAGGAAACACTTATTCTACTGAGCCATCTTCCCGGCCCCCAACAGATGGCTTTAGAGGAGGGGTAGGAGTCATTCCAGGCTGTGGGGACAGCAAATGTGAAGTCCCCCAAAACAGTCTGGGGTCTTGGCACTGGAGGTATGAGAGGGGCTGGGGAGGGGAGATAGCTCAGTAGAATAAGTGCTTACCTGGTAAGCACAGGGCCCTGAGTTCAATCCCTGGTACCACAAAAACAAACTGGAGGTATGAGAGGAAGCCCTGAAGGGGGCAGGCAGTGAAGCCACGTACCCAGGCCCTTACAGGCCAGGTTGGATTTGGACACTCCCAGGAACAGTAGGAACTACACGAGTATTTGGACAAAGTCGTAACCTGGTCAGATTTGTGAGCTCTGGTTAGAGGGTGCCACGTGGGAGCAGACCGTGGGTGGCCCTGAAAGGAAGGGGGCAGACAAAAGACCATGCTGTCGGAGCTGCAGGCCAGCTTGTGAGCCCAGTTACACGGCAGGGCAGTGGCATCCACGTGCTGCTCTGCCAACAGCTGTTAGGAGTTCCCTGGTGGGCAGGAAGTGTGCAAGCTCACGTGGCCCTCCCCCCATGTTCCTGCTACCCCCTTTGCTCAGCCTCTGCCTGTGCTTACCGTTGGGCCACATCTTTCTGGCCACCTCCCACATGGTCACCAGCCCCCATGTCAACAGCAGGTCTCCCCACCGACACGGGCTCTGCGAGGTGGCTGGCACCGGAATGTCAGAGAGCACCTAAAGCAGTGGTCAGGGCCTGGGACTCAGTGTGCTCTAGGTTGAGGGATACTGGGCCAGACTTATGACAGACACTGTGAACTCCCTGAGGCCCAGACACCTGTGACTTTTGCCCAGGAGAGACTAGGAGAGCTCGGACACCAACCACCTCTGACAGGCTCCAGACAGATGTTTTATTCGCTCACAGTTCTGTGGCAAGCAGCACCAGGGCCAAGTTTAGCTGAGTGCTTCTGCCATTCTCCCTAGGTCACCCAAAACTGCCATCACTTAGTGACTTAGGACAAGAGGGTCTAAGGTGGCCTCACATCTGGCTCTTGGCTGATGGCTTCCACAGAGCAGAACCTTCTGTGGTGACAGGAATGTTGGCCGCAACTGCTGCACAGTGCAGTGGCTACCTGCCCTGCCCAGCCGTGGAGCATCTGAGATGAGGCCAGTGTGACTGAGGCACTGAAATCTAAATGTCTGGGCCGGGGAGATGGCTCAGTGGAAGAAGCGCTTCCCTGAAATCTAAATGTTTCATTTAAACTCATTTAGATGTACATAGTCACATAGGGAGAATGTACAGTACACACCAGTGACCCCAGCACCCAGGAGGCTGAGGCAGTCGGATAACCCTGAGCTCAGAACACACCAGTGACCCCAGCACCCAGGAGGCTGAGGCAGTCGGATAACCCTGAGCTCAGAGCCAGCCTGTGCTAAAAGCCTGTCTCAAAAAAACAAAGCAAAATGTAGCGCAGATGCCTATGCTGGTGGCCAGTGTGCGCCTCGGCATCTCACCTGAGATAGTTCAGCTCCTGGAATCACCACTCTCATGACACTGTTCCTGCTGCGTTCTGCTGGGCAAAGAAAGCAGAAGGCCAGTCCACATTCGGACTGGGGATGACTTGAGAGAGACCCTAGGGCCTGTTGGGAGAAGCAGCCACATTGCAGGAGTGACTGGGTGTGCAGGACGGGAGCCCTGGTTGTCCGTCACACCCAGGTTCCAGTCCCAGCTCCACAGCAGCTGTGGGACTCTGGTCCAGAGATGCACCGCTCTGAGCAGCAGTCTTCATACAGAGAGGCTGATCCACTCGACTGCAACACAATACGCTCAGCAAAGAGCAGCTAATTCAAATATTTCAGAGATGTTAAAATCTGAAAGCGCGCATCTTGGAATGCAGAGAATACAATGAGGCCCCTGCCTCAGGGGTGAGGCGCACTTCAGGGGTGATACTCTGCAGGAGTCGAGTAAAAGGAGCTGCCCCACTCCGCTGACTTGGGCACACTGCTTCCTGTCTGAAATCCTGTCTGGGTAGCTCAGCTGTCCCATGTTGGCCCCTCCCCGCTTTGCCAGATAGAGTGTTCTAGACTGGATTCCACCCCTCTTGCACACTTGCCCTTCCCTTTTCTCTCCAGCCCTCTTCTCTGCCCTTCCTCATGGGGGCTCAAACCCTGCCCGCACATTCTGAGCCTCCTCTGCCCCCTAGGGACCTACAAGTTCCAGAAGACAGAACTTCGCAAGGAGGGTTTTGACCTGGCACTGGTGAAAGACCCGCTCTTCTACCTGGACTCCCGCAAGGGCCGCTATGTCCCGCTGGACCAAGAGGCCTACACCCGCATCCAGGCGGGCGAGGAGAAGCTGTGACTTCCACCCCAGAGAGGTCCTGGACAATGCCAGACCAAAGCAAGCAGGGCCTGCACCTCTGCTTGAGGTGCTGACCCCTCCATCCAAAACTGCCAAGTGTCACACTGCCGCCTCCCCAGGCTTCCAGGGCTTTCTGTGAAAGCCTAGCGTCCAAATGATGTTGTCTGGGCCCAGGCTGAGATGGAGGGGGCCCCTCAGGACAATGTCTGCATGAGGCACAGCTGGGAGAGGTGGAGGAGGGAACTTGAAAAGGGGACCAAGGCAGGTGGCCTCGGACTCAGAAAGCCATGGGTCCAGAGAGAACCCTTGCCTCCGCCCTGCCTGCACCTCCAGGAGGGGAGGAACAGAGCGGCCATGGCCCCCACTCCCCACCACAGCAGGCCAGGACAGAACCTGTCTCTTGAGAGCCCCACAGCCTTGTCTTCCTGGGGTGCCTTGCTATCCCTCAGACAGAGCCTTTTGTCCTCGTGAGTCTGTGTCACCTTTTCCATTCCAACCCTGCCTGCTGTGGGAGGAAGGATGGGAGGGAGTGATCAGGGCCAATAAACTGCCTTGACTCCTAGCCTGCGTGCCACGGCCTGAGCCGCCCCATCCTGCTTGGGTTTCCCAAGAGGACTGGGATATGGGGATGGGGCCAGTGAGGTGCCAGGCCCGTGCCAGCTCAGCCGGGGCAGCTCCCACTGAGCTGGCAATGCGTTCAGCATGAGCCTCAAAGGCCAAGCCAGATCTCATTTAGCAGCTCATGGCCATGGGCCGATGACACAGTCCTCTGCAAAAAGTGAATCATCAGTTAAGATGCAGAGCTACAAGGCAGTCATGAGACTCTGAGTGGAAGCCCTTGCTCTGCTGCATCCTACAGTTTGCTTTGTTCAGGGGCTCAAAAGGGCCGCTGGGGTGACAGCAGCCAGGCCACAGCAAAGCTACCTAACCTGCCAGGCAGCAGCCCAGCCCTCAGGTCTGAATCACTCAACCCCAAAGTGGGGAGGGGCCTGGCACAGCAAGTGGTGTGCCCCTGGGGGTCCAGTCTCCAACCTGGAGCCTCACTTGGAGACTTGTCACTAGATCATGGTCACCCAAGTAAGCACAGTAATGGGGGTCAAAAGCTGTGCCTTTTCCATTGCATCACTGTGCCTCCTGGTGCAGAAGGTAGGAAATGACGTCTCCATTCCACACTCCCAGTGTTACCTGCTCTTGGCCACACCCCAAGCCAGGAGCTGACAGCTGAGGTGGGTGGTGACTGGGCTAGGAAGTAGGAATACCTCCCAAGGGAGTGGCCTATGAGGAGTCTGGTGCCTTGGGGGAGGTGTGGCCAGCTGGAGTGGGCCCTTACTTGGCCAATTTGGGGGTAGGGGTGCTAGGCGCAGCTGCCACACCAATGGTGACCAGCAGAGGGTGTGCAGAACTCGGAGAACCCAGTGCTCAGTCCCAGGGAAGCAGGAAGGAGGGGCTGTGTCCCTCAACCCTTAGCAGGTCCCTGAGTCAGAGGACCTGCCTGTATCTAACCTGCACAGCCACGTCTTGACACTGGGCGGGACTAAGGCTCTCTACATGCAATGCAGGGTAAGCCAGTGCAGTCTGCTTTCATTCTCAGCTCTGCCATCTGCCAGGCCAGGCCTTAGTTCCCCTTGCTGTAAAGAACTCCCTACCTTACAGAACAGCTCAAGCTTGCGTGGATGCGCCTAGCATGGGGCCTGTGGCCACATCAGTCCACTGCACACTAGTCATGCTTGGGGACTCACTGCCTTGGAAGTCAGCCAGTTTGGGACTCAGTGCATTCTGATGCAAAATTTTGTCCAGGAACTTGATGTGCAAGCTAGAACTTGTCCACGTTGTTCACCTCATGGCTGACTACCCTCTGCAGCCACGACTGTTTGGCACTCTTCAGTGAACAAATAAGTCTGGCCAGGCATGGCGGAACACACAGTCCCAGCACTCAGGAGGCTGAGGCAGAATTAGTATGAGTTTGAGGCCAGCCTGGGCTACATAAAAAGACCCTGTCTCAAAACAACAAAAAAGGAATACCAGACTGGGCATGGTGGTGCACGCCTGTAATCCCAGCACTGGGGAGGCTTAAAACAGGTGGATCACTACAAGTCTGAGCTGTGTAGTGGGACCCCATACCAAAATATATTAAAGAAAAAAAAAAAAAAAGAAAAAAATACCAAAACAGTGCCACTGTAAAGAAAAAAGGAGCTGAAAGCACCTGCCTGGAAAGCGCAAGGTCCTGAGTTCAATCCCAGGTACAAAAAACAAAAGAACTGGGTATTGTGGTGCACACCTGCAATCCCAACACTTGGGAGGCTGAGGCAGGATAGTGGTTAAATTGCCAGACTAGGCTGGTACCCAATTGTCACTAAACCACCCCAGCCAGCCCCCCAGTGTGGCCTCCTGGATGCACATCTGGTCACCCCCAAGCCAAGGTTCTGTGTGAAGTACTTGCTTGATACACACTGGTGGAGTTAACAATCGCTGTTTATTGGGCAGTTCCTCTAGTGCTTCCCACTTTGTGGAACACTGTCAGTTCTCCCAACTGCGCGGATTCTAAAGGCTGCTAGAAAGAAAGAAGAACCGGGGCCCTAATCTGCCCTCGGGGAGCCAGGTGGCTATAGGGAGGGGAAGGGGTGTGGAGAGCACCAAGCAGGACTGTACACAGCGGAGCCACGCAGGAGGACTTCCTAGGATGCTCCAGGCGCAGGCCTGAAGAAGCACAGAACGGGTTGAGGAAAGACGAGATCCCACTTCGGGGATCGTTCCTGTAGCTCATCACTGAACCAGGAGCCCGGAGCAGAGGCGCAGCCATCTGCCTGGGCACCAGGCAGCTCTGGGTGTGGCTTCACTGCAACTGCTGTTTGTCATTGCTGATCACTGATGATGTCATTGATGGGCCTTCTTCTCTTCCTTCAAAACAAGTGAGGCAGATGCCTTCCCAGTGATCTGAAAACACTGTAAATAACTGAGCATGAAAAAAACCAAAACTGAGCATGATGGTGTGTGCCTATAATCCCAGCACCCTGGGAGGTTGAGGCAGGAGGATGGCAAGTTCAAACCCATACTTGTCAATTTAGCAAGACCATATCTCTAAAGAAAAGATGACTTGGGAGCCAGGTGTGATGGCACACGCCTGTAATTCCAGCACTTGGAAGGCTGAGTCAGGAGGATCCCCAGGAATTAAAGGCCAGCGTGAACTACATAGTGAGACCCTGTTTCCAAGAACCAAAGGGGAAACAACAACAACAATAAAAAGACCCTTGGTTCCATCCCGAGTACTACAAAAAAGAAAGAAGGGCAAGGTCCAGCCAGATAGCTCAGCACACTAAAGCGCCTGCTTTGGCAGTGCAGTGGCCAGGTTGATCCCTGGCATGCATGACAGTCCTGCCCTCGGGGACAGGGACAGACTGTGCATGGTGGTGGGCACCTGTAATCCCAGCACTTGGGAGGCTGAAAACAGGAGAATCACTACAAGTCTGATCTACGTAGTGAGACCCTGTATACCCTGTCCTAAATTTTTTTTTTTTTTTTTGCGGAACCGGAGATTGAACTTAGGCCCTTCCGCTTGCCAGGGAAGCGCTTATTCCACTGAGTCATCTCCCCAGCCCCTGTCCTAAATTTAAAAAAATAATAAGAAAGGAGGGCAGGTAGGCAGTGAGACTGCAGGGCTGAGACAAGATATGGAAGGGAGGCTGTGGCAGTAGGGTCACCTCCAAGTTTTGAGACTAGCCTGAGTTACTATGTGAAATCAAAACTCCAGCATTCAAGAGGCTGAGGTAGGAGGATCATTGTGAGTTCAAGACCACCTTGGGCTACAAAGTGAGCTCAAGGCTAGCCTGAATTGCATAGTGAGACCCCCTTTTATTTATTTATTTATTTATTTATTTATTTATTTATTTTGTGTGTGTGTGTGTGGCCAGCTCAGCCCACCAGGGGGTGGGGCTGGCTGGCATGTGGTGCTGGGGGATTGAACCGCGGTCCCTGTGCTTTGCTAAGCTTGTTCTAAGTAGGTGCTTTAGACCACTGAGCCATCTCACCAGCCCAGTGAGACCCTTTTGCAAAAAAAACAAAAAACAAGAAAAGAAAAAAATAGAAAAGGGCTGAGGAGATAGCTCAGTGGACTAAGTGCATGTTTAGGCAAGCACAGGTGGTGGGAGTTCAATCCCTGGCATGCCGGCGCCACCCCCAGGTGCCCTGACCATGCCTCGAGTCAAGGCTGTAGTCTCAGCCCTAGGGAGGCTGAAAATAGGAGGATCACTAAGAGTCCAAGCTGCGCAGTCAGACCCTGGACCAAATACATTTAAAAATATAATTAAAAAAGAAAGTGAATCCTTTGAGAGCACTACTGCATGCCTCCAAGGACTAGAAGCTCGGGTTAGAGATCGTTGGAGGCCGGTGCAGTATCTCGCTAGAGGCCGTGGAGCAAAGTGCACTTCCAGCATGATTTCACTAAATACCCATCCCACAGATGAGCATGCTGAGGCTGGGAGGCCAGTGTGTGGCAGAGCTGAGGAGACCCCCCCACACCCCGCCTTGGGCCTCCTGCGGCCCCACCCTGGCAGGCTGGAAGGGGCCGCCCACATCGTCCCCGGAGGTCCAGCAGCTAGCAGGGCAGGCGAGCCGAGGCCCGGGCCAGTGCGCGGCTATCACTTTCAGTTCCTGGGAAGAAGGTTAAATACCATTGAGGTGGTAGCGGCAAGGGAGGGGGAACCCAGTGACTTTCAAAGGGGCCTCTAGGCACCGCCGGCCCCTCCCCTGAGGAGGGGGCCCAGCTTCCTCCAGGCCTAATGATATTCTGGGCCCAGCCCTCAGCTTTGGCGGCAGTTTAACCCGAGCCAGGGCGGATTTCTTTCTCACTGATCTCAGCTTGACACCCAATTAGCACAAGAATGGGAGGAGGAAGCCTGCAAGAGGCGCCTCCCAGCCTCCCGGGGTGCGCGAGGGGAGCAGGCGGGGAGACAAAGGGCAGCGGGCAGGGGGGCACTGAACCCTCGCCTCCCCTTCCCCCGCCGACTCCGCCATTGTCTCCCCAGGAGCTTCGGAAAGGACACAGGCCGACGCCCCTGCTAGTCGGCCTGCTGGAGGGGACAGAGAATGGGGCCCAAGCCCCTGTGCCGCCACCATACGAGAGGCCAAGGGGAAGGCTAGGCAGCCGGAGGCCGTGTGCGTCCCGAAGGCACACAAAAGCCGATCTCAGGTCTGCCTCCGAAGGGTCTTGAGGCAAACCACTCATTCTAAGTCTCAGTTTTCTCATCTGAAAAAAGGGCAGGAGTCCCTGTGAGGTATAAATTAGATAATGCACGTGAAATACCAGGCAGGTGCAAAGAGGCACTTCAATACTTTTTTTTTTTTTTTGAGAAAGGGTGTTTTGTTTGCTTTTGCAGAACCAGGGATTGAACTCAGGCCTTTGTGCTTGCCAGGCAAGTGCTTATTCTACTGAGCCATCTCCCTGGCCCCTTGAGAAAGGGTCTTGCTATGTAGTTCTGACTGGCCTTGATATTATGGTGATCCTCCTGCCTCAGCCTCCTGGAATTACAGGCAGGTGCCACCATGCTGGACAATAAATATGCCTTGAATGAATATCATGTTAAACTAATTCTGTTACTAGAGTCCAGTGGTATAGGCTCGGGATCAGAAAAAGTATGTCACTAGCAAATGCTGGGCAGCTGAGGAATGGGCCTGCTTAGCACGAGCTAGGGCCCCTCCCCTCCCCACTTCCAGTTCCCAGGTCCCTGTGGACTTGGCCCCAACAGGACTTGTGGGAACACTTCCCTGATCCCCTAAAGCCCCATGTCCCCCCCCATAATACTATTATAGACAGCTAAGTCATATAGATATATAGAAGGTAGTCAGACAGAGCTGGATCTTAGTGATACAGGGAGAAAAACGACTCGGGTGGGTGACCTCCAAACAATATAGGGAACCTCCAAATGACATAGGGAAAAACAATCTCTGGACCCAACCTGCATGAGTTCATGTTCTCTAAAACCGAAGAATGAATTCTAGGAACAAACAGAGGTTATGAGCAGAATATATTTATTGAGAGAAAGAAAGCTCC